ACGGGTAGTCCCCATTAGAGGTTCACGGCGCCATAAGCTCGTTGAACAGGCTTTGTGTGAAATATAACAAAGTCTAGGACTGCTTTTAGTATCCTGGTGGTCTAGCGGTTAGCGTTCCCCGGGCACAGTCATAGGCTCGTGGGCCGTGGGTTCGAATCCTGGCAGGTTGAGGTGTTGATTGTATATATATATATATATATATATATATATATATATATATATATATATATATATATATATATATATATATATATATATATATATATATATATATAAAATGGCTCAAAGCCTAATGGGTCAATGGAAAAGTATACTGTATGTTCATATATAAAATGGTGATTACTGCATATAAAAGAAACGGGAGAGGTCATACTCTTTCTGCTATACTGAACTGCAGATTCTTCAGCATTGGATCTTGAGTAAAGTCATTGGTGCGATGAATATTGCATATCTGTTTCTTTCTTGTTGCTGGTGGAACAGCTGTTGTCCTAATAAATTGAGCAGTTTCTCGATCACTAAGCTTCTTAACCACTCTTTGACCTTTGTAAATCTTGCAGCACTGTAAAAGAATATTCATGAGAATTTTTTACTTTTCAAAATTACCAGGTATGTAACATAAGGTTCCTCAAGCTGAATCCCCAAAATAATATTAACAACTCATTTCCTGGAAATTCTCAACATAAGTTTAAGTTTGAAAATGCCTATCTTAATATTTTTCATAGTTGTTTTTGTAATTAATATTCAAACAACCAAAAGTTTGGCATTGTTCCAAAGCATGACTATTGGTTTGTCATAACACTCAGTTGCAGTGAAGTACAGTGCAGTACAGGGGGTCCCCGGGTTACGAACAGGTTCCATTCCTGAGGAAGTTCTTAAGTCGGAAATGTACGTAAGACGGAACACATGCTATGTGCATACCGTACTTACAGAGCAATGTTTAAAATCCCACTATATCATAGCCTAAGTCTTTATATACATCTAAAATCACTTAATTTAAGAGAAAAGAAGAAATAGAATGACAAAATACAATAAATGAAAGTAAAAAATAAGTCATCAGGTAAATAAAATACTGTAAGTTTCAAGTTTAACCCCATTCGTATCAGCGGGCTTTCGTAAGTCAGACGTTCGTAAGTTGAGGACCCCTGTATATGGAAAGAAAGATGAACGAACTCCTGTTCGTTTGTATACAGAGTTCAAAAACGAACGCCACTAATTCATTTATCTATATTTAAGACCCAATTCAATCTACACCGTTATTTCCTTCGTATTTACGACGAAAATATAATAAAAAATAAAATAAAATTACAATTTCATATAAATAATAACTAAATCCCAATGTATATTATAAAAAAAAAAAACATGCCTTGCGCATGGAGGCTGCAGGGCATGTGAGTGGTGATGCCAGCATCACTAGTATAAACAGACAGCTTGGCGGGCCTTTTGGTTTCGTGCATCTGAACAGGAAAAGGAGAAAAACTTTCTCGGGTTTCTTACAGCATTTTTGCTTCCCTATTTAGCATAAGCAAGAGAGCAAGTGATGGTAGTGCTGATTCAAAAGCTAAAAGAAAGTGTATAAGCTTGGCCGAGAAACAAGATGTGTTAAAACGCTATGAAAAAGGTGAGAGGTCTGTAGATATTATATGCAGCAAGCAATGAACATATTTTCTGAAGTGGATCCATTAACTGAACGAAGCATTAAAATTAACAGGGACGTGAAAACGCATATGACCCCTACATAAAGATATATAATGAGAAAAAATGCAGCTATGCAAGGTTCTATCAACGGCTTTATTATTCAAAGGCCTAAACCATCAACTTCAGCTACACCATCTGCTCTCCTATTGCACCCATCTTTGGTCATCCTCTCTTAGGGACTATGGGGAAACTTTTGTCGTGGCCCTCGACATCTCCAAAGCATTTGACAGGGTATGGCACAAGTCTTTGCCATCTAAACTTCCCTCCTTTGTTTTCTCTCCCCCACTTTGTTCTCTCATCTCTAGCTTCCTTGAGAACCGATCCATGGCAGTTGTTGTCGAGGGATCGATTTCTCGCTCTTTCTCAACCAATAGTGGCGTCCCACAGGGTTCTGTTCTTTCACCAACTCTCTTCCTTCTTTTTATCAATGATTTACTTCACACTACAACTAATTCTATCCATTCTTACGCCGATGATTCTACTCTTCACTCTTCCTCACATTTTCCCCTTCCTCCTAACTCTCAAACCAGATCTGTTTCTAGAACTGATATCATTACTTCTATCAACGCGGATCTGTGCAGCATCTCTGAATGGGGAGATACAAACTTGGTTAAGTTCAATAGTAACAAAACTCAATATTTACCAATTACACTTTGTAAAGTAGACGATCTCCCACCAATTACATTTCAGGACGCTATCATCCTCCCAAATTCTGAAATACATATGTTAGGCCTCACCATTTCCTCCAATATGTCCTGGAAATCACACATCCTTAGTATAACTAAAGCTGCCTCCCGAAAGTTGGGAATGCTGTACAGATGCCGCAGCTACTTCACTCCTGAGCAGTTGCTCCAAGTATATAAGGGATTCATTCGTCCTAACTTGGAGTACTGCTCTCATATCTGGGGTGGCTCTTCTTCTGTCCAACTATTAGATAGGGTGGAATCAAAGGCATTTCGTCTTATTAACTCTCCTCCTTTAGTCGACAATCTTTCTTCCCTTTCTCTTCGCCGCAATGTTGCTTCACTCTCTCTCCTTTACAGGTACTTTAACGGGCAATGTTCGGTGGATTTGGCATCCTGTGTACCGCCGGCAAGGCCGTTTGTTCGTAACACACGTCTTGCCTGCGGTGCCCACCGTTTCTCGGTGGATGTCGGTCACACGAGAATAACCAGTTATAGTACCTCCTTATTTCCTCACACAGCCAAACTGTGGAATGCTCTGCCTTCTTCTGTGTTTCCATGCTCTTATAATCTATCTCACTTTAAAAAGCTGGTTTTCCGGCATCTTCGTGGTGTAGATTAATACAGTATAACCTTTTTTTTCTACATTTACAATTTCTTTCCGTTCTTTTTTTTTCGCCCCCCAGGCTCCGTTGTGGGTCGTTTAACCTGTGCCCGGGTGGGCTAATTCCCGTAAAAAAAAAAAAGCAGCTGCACCATCAAATTCAGCATTAGCAGCAGCTTCAGGAACTGCAGGTTCAGTAACAGTTTCAGCAACAGCTATGACATCTTTATGGAAAGCTACAGCTTCAGCCAGAGTTGAACCTTACGAGTTCGTCATCTGAGTATAAACTCACACAACAGCATTCATTGGCTGTCCTTATGTTTTTGACTTTACCACCATTGGTGAGTAGAATTTTTGTTTTACATTCGTAAGTATTATTTAAAACCTATATTAACAGTAATAAGAGTTGCTTTCATATTCTTATGTAGAGAAATTATGATATGGTTTCACATGTAGGTACTTACTTACATTGGCGTTGCGCAGTCTTGCTTTTTTTTTTTTGTATTTACAATTAGTGGTTAGGTTGTAGTGGATTTCTCCCCTACAAACGCTGTTTGTCGCTGCATAGCCGACCCCACGAATTCCACAGTGTGTGCCTCGTGGTCTAGGTCAACCAGTGCCGCCATACATCACGGAGCGGGGGTCAACTACTAAGCCACGCCTAACCCCCGCTATTTAAGACCTGACCTCGTGGTGACCTCTCTCTTTCTACCTACACCAACCAGCTAGCAACACCTCATCCTCCTCTGCCGCTGCCCGGCAGCCCTCACTCCTCCTCCGCCTGCCTGGCGGTCCTCGCTCCCGCCGGAGAGCATGGCGACCCACAAGCTGGTCCTCCTCTGAGCATCCTCACCAACCAGCTCTCTCTACATCACGCTTGTAACCATGCTGCCTTCCCAGCACCAAGCTGCATTGTACATCCAATACAACATGTATATAGAGAGCACATTGTGAGTTTCCTTTCTCCACCCCATCCTGAGTGTGAACACAAACAATCTCATACCCCACAAGGTACTTCTAATGTTCCATTCATTAACATTAAATACCATTACTTAAAACATACATGTTCATTTTTTACATTAATTTTACTACAGCTACAACTAGGGTCTTATTTTTTTCAGTTTCATATGTAGAACCATCATCACGGGTGTAAACACTAACGAAAACAATGTCGTCTCGTCTCCTCTTGTGTATTTTAATTTTCTACATATTATTAATGAATTGTATTGTTCATTTTGCATATATAAACATTCATTCAATCAATTACATAATCATTAATGCGGGTAAACAATAATGAATCTTTTGTACATATTCTTAAGATATATTACGCTGTTTCCTTGAGTGCGCACGTATACGTTGACATTCCGCTATCAGTTTCACTTTTTTCTTTACCATCGGTGGTTACTTCTACTGTATATTAATTTACACATACCGGTACATATTTTTTTACGTTAATTTTACTACAGCAACAACCAGGGTCCTATTTCTTTCAGTTTCAGATGGGTAACTGACGACGTTATTTTTGTTCAATCCAGAATGCGACGTCTAGCTTCATTTGTACAGACACATCCTAAATAGGATGGGGATACCATTCCTCAAATGGAGAGTTCCTTCAAGGGAAGTGGAGCAACTCCCTTTGGGACAAACACATAAACAAAAAATTAGCAGTAGTCCTATTCTTTTTGTTGGCAAACCCAAATTTCAAAAACATGACGATTCTGTTTGCCATGGACAACAGAAAGGCAGTGTTTTGTCTCAATCAAGGCTCAACCAGATCTTGGCCTCTTCTAAACCTATCGCAAATTTTTTTCAAAGTTTGTGTAACGCAAACACTTTACCTCAAAGCAACTCACACACCGGAAGTACAAAACAATTGGGCAGATGCGTTGTCCCGTCTAAGGCCAGTGTAGGGTTATGAGATATTGGTTCACTCTCAGGATGGGTTGGAGAAAGGAAACTCACGATGTGCTCTCTGTATACATATTGTATTGGATGTACAATGCAGCTTGGTGCTAGGTAGGCAGCATGGTTACATGCGTTGAGTAGAGAGAGCTGGTTGGTGAGGGTGCCCAGAGGAGGGCACGCAGCTTCAGGGACGCCATGGTCGCCGCCAGGCTGGAGCTGAGGAGGAGGTGGTGTTGCTTGTTGGTGGCTGTAGGTAGAAAGAGGGTGGTCACGGCGGGGTGAGGTCTTATAAGGCGGGGGTAGGCGTGGGTTGATAGTTGACCCCCGCTACGTCAGGCGGCGCTGGAGGTGCAGGCTGGGGAATTCAAAGAGGGTCGGCTACTCAGCGACAAACGGCGTTTGTAGGGGAGGAATCCACTACACCAGTATCAACAGAAACAGAATGGTCCCTAAAGATATAGAAGTTCAAGAGTTTAGTGAGGAGGTTTGGGACTCCACAAATAGATCTCTTTGCCTCACAAAATGTTGCCCAAAGTGGTTCACAAACTCAGATCCTTCTTAATTGCACCATATTGGATCCTACAACCATGGTGTCTCGATCTGTTGGACTGGTGCCTGCATCCACTACAATTGCAACAGGGATATATAGAACAGGTACTGCACCCTCAGTTCGAGATATCCTTGGCACTTCACGCTTGCAGTTTCTCGAAAGATGTTTAAATAGATTGTTGGGTAATTCCAATATCGTTAACCAAGTGATAGCAGGTCATAGGCCCCAAACTTCTATGCAATATGAGAAAGCTTTGAAACTTTTTCAACAATTTATCAGGTTAGCGACTCCAATCACATTGTCGGACACAGTGGTGTTAGAATTTTTAGATTTTCTGTTCAGAGTTAAAGGCCTTCAAGGATCAACAATTGCATCTTATAAATCAGCATTGGTTGACCCTCTGGCATTGAGTTTTAATATTACTTTGAACCCAAGAATTTATCAAATGCTCAGATCATCCTTAGAGAATCCCACCTTGGTCTCTAGATAAAGTTATTAAATTTTTTAAAGGGGCCTAATTACTATATAAATCTGCATTATTTAAAGAATATAGTTTGCATTTTTTATTAACTTTATTGTTTGGGGGGAAAAGAGGGTAAAAAGTCACGCAAAAGATATGAAAAGGTCAGACTTTGAAACGTATCTCACTCTTATTACTTTACAGTATTTTAAAGGTAATCAATGATTCACAACACGATGATTTACCTTACACTGCATTATTGGAGGACACATTACTGTCGTTATTCGAGGCTTTATTGTACAGGGTACTGTATCTGCCCAAAATTTTAAGGTCCCAATGTGCCGGACTGGTTTCACCCTGTAAATGTATTTTGACAGATCGCGGCACCTCTAGTCTATACCTGAAGTTAAACAAATGAAAACTTCCATATATATATATATATATATATATATATATATATATATATATATATATATATATATATATATATATATATATATATATACCACAATTACAATCATACCTCAAATGGAATAAACACATTCCTTTCAGCAGGAGACACTTGTACACAGTTCAACTTTGGAAACTTAATTTTTTTTCCATATTGGTTCTTGAAGTAGTTTTCAATGGTGCAGTAAACTGTGTTCCCAGTATTCTCATCTTTTAAAGGAAATGTTTGTTTCTCGGCAGAATGTTCTGAAACATCTATAATCTTGTAAGTGCGAGGGATATTGGAGTGTGTAACTTGCACCTGAAATATAAAAGTTACTTTAATTGGTGAGGTTTTGCAGAGAGGTAGAGTTATATGGTTTGGGCGTGTGGAGAGAATGGAGAAACCATTTGAGTCAAGGGATGCAGGAGTTTGAATATGGAGGGGAGGAGAACAAGGAATAACAAACAGAGGATGTGAGAAATGTCAAAGATATTAATCTGACAAAAGAGGAATGAAGACACAATGCACCTTGTTAAGTTGCCTACAGATAATCACAGCTAACTTATATAAGCACAATAAATGGTTGTAAAACATTAATGATGATGTGGATGATGATTAAAACATTATACAATCACCCACAAAAGTCCTGTCACCTCTCCTCTTGAAACACAAACCCCGACATTTACTCATGAATCCAAAGCATTTTTGGACAGAATAATGCATCAGTTTCTACTGCTTCAGGTTCACGAGTCTAAATCTCTTGGGTTGTAACTAATTCCATAAGAAAGTGAGCCTTGCACAAGTAATTCCAAATCATTAAATACTGGACTGTGTTCTCTATGACTCTTACCACATTCATTAACTCTACAAATTTTATTCCAAAAAGAAAAGCTACCAGCTTTGTACGGTCTTTTATATACAGGGTGTCTATAATTTATTCACCTGATTATGAAGCTCAATAATACCGAAATTTTCCCTGATAATTTTAGATAACTCAGCATTTCCCAAATTATTTTATAATAAATTCCAAGACCATACACATGCCGAATTATACTGTTTAAATTCCGAGATATTAAATGCCGAGTTATAAAGATTTTGTGGTCCCTCGGTTAACAAATGGTTCGATTAACGAAATTTTGGTTAACGAATTACCGCCCATAAGGTTCTTTAATTTGGTTAACGAACAAATCTTCAATTAACGAAGTCCTTAAGAACAACACGTTTTGTTGTGAGCATCAGTTGATGGGCTAGTCTGCCAATTCAATAATCTCTTCTATGTTTACATTCGTTTCCAGTGGAGTAAATATCAAGAAAGTTGTGCTCTTTAATATTTTTGCATTTTTTATATTAAAATTATTAGTCATTTTAAAATTTAGTCAACATATTGATAATATATGCAGTACAGGGAACTAGTGTTTTGTGCGCCCATCAGCCGCTTGACTCAGCCACTTGGCGTCAGTTTGGCTTTGTTGACAGTGGAGTGAACATCTATTTTGTTGGTGTCTTGAATATTTTTGCATTTTTACATTGAAATTATTGATCATTCTGAAATTTAGTTAACGCATTGATAATATATAGCGCAGTGCAGTGTTGATTTAAATAAAATAATTTTGAATTACACCTAGTGAACTTATAATTTTATTGGTGAAATGATTGCATCAAGCATGGGTCCCTGAAAGATGATTTCTCCTCCATCCCCACTTACTTCTCTTCTCCCTTCTCATCCACCCCCACTTCTAATTCCCATCATCATCATCCAGGAACCTTCTACATACACACCTCAAAGTAAGTGTACTTTACTGCATTTTTTTTTACTTTGTATGCACATTTCGGTGAGCTGGAACCAATTACCCAATATCCCATTGAAACAATGGATTCGGTTAACGAAATTTTCGGTTGACGAATGACCCTCTGGAACGAATTGTGTTCGTTAACCAAGGGACCACCGTATTTGCTTCTAATATACATAAGACTGCACTTACCCTAATATTTCTTAGTTCTTGCAAAAGTTTTGATTGTTTAAATGGCTCTAATGGTCTATGAAAATCATCTTCCCTAAAATTCATGAAGTCTTGAATAAAGTTCAGAAGAGGTTGTTCTTTATAGAATGCTGTGTGTGCAACTAAAAATAGAGATAAAATGTTTTAATAACAAGCAAACTAAGCGATTTAGTAGATTTAGAGCTAATGAAATTTTATAATCAATCAATAATTTCATATTTTCTGACTACTGTATAAAGAAATACATGATATTCAGTAATTACAAAACTAAATCTTAAGCAAATGTGCTATATATCAACAAGACTGACACATTACAAGACAAACATGTATATACTCGTACAATCATACCATCAATATTCAGTAAGAGAGATCCATCCTTCCAAGATGCAGGCCTCATCGACCCAAAAAAACCAGTCACACCTTCCTTGCCACATCCAATTGGATATGGCGTTCCAAACTCTCCTCCTGCTGAGTAGAAGTTACGACGACCAACCAATTCATACTTAATGGCCCGATAATGACGAAACATTACTTCAACCATCTGTAAAATACTCAAGAAAACAAACAAGATAAAGTTAATATCTAAATTAACCCAAATTGTTAACATTATATACTGTATATCAGGATTCATATACAGTATACCATTACTGGGCCAGTGACATCCATCTCCATCAAAAATTTATCTTGAAAGTTTCTTGTAATGTGTTATACATATCAGTTTTACTGTACTGTACTGTATAGGCTGTCCTCACTACATATTTTCCATTAATACCCATATGTATTTTCATAAATACATATGACTGATACACATTTTTTCCTGTCGTGTATATTTCAGAAGCCTTACCCTAATCTACTTTGGATCTCATGGCTCAACCAAACAATGTTCACTACACACGTCCTAATATTTTACCAACAGGTCAGGGACTTGTCCTTATATTGAGTAGCTAGTGTTTTGGG